CACAGCGTGTGTATCGGTGTGTTTGGGAAAGTGTATTTGTATAGACTTTACCTTTACTCTGTCAGATGGCAAAGGATTATGGGTTTTTACATCATAGACTTTGGTCTTCAGCTTCAAATATGAACAGAAAGCCAGGTATACACACTAAAGCAAACACACAGAGGAGAAAGGTCAGAGGTTAAACTCTAAAGTGGAACCTTCTAGTTTAAAATCAGATTAAAACAAGAGTAGGTCGATTGTAGTCTTAGACAAACAAGATTTTACATTGGCTGTGTCTGTAACCAAAGGCATCTGTCCAATCAGTGATGTTTTTCTATGAAGGAAACCGATTTCAGACCGACCCGTCTAATAATCTAGATAGAACAAATTCAAGTGAGCTTTGCAAGCAAATATTTGACTACATTGCTTATTTCTCAGTAGAAAGTTGAATAAATATAAATATAAATGTATTTTTTTAGCTTTCGTTTTTTGATTAGATTACTCCCCACAGGTTGTTTTGTGTTTATGTCATGTGCACACAAAGGTCTTAAAGTTCTGCCTTCATTATTATGCATCATGGTCTGTCTCTCTGTCTCTTTCTCTCGGGCTCTGCTCTCGCTCTTCAAACTCTTAAGCTATTTCAGGTCCCCATAAGGTTAAGAGGATTTTCTCTGCAAGCACTGAATCGATCTCTTCATTTCCCCAGATGCTCTCATGTTGGCAGTAATGGGGATTCAACAGGCACCAGTGGGAAGCAGGATTTGCACCCAGCTCTGGGGTGGCCCGCACAGGGTGAGCGCCCCCTGGTGGCTGTGGCTGCTTCTTCTCTGTTATGAAATGGTTTTCCTCATGGAAATGTAGATGAAGAAGATAACAAAAACTTGAACATTTTGTTTTCAGAATGCCCTTGACATTAGTATTATTTATGTATATTATCTCTTATTTGTGATTGACAGTTTTAGCCTGGGCTTGTTAACTTGTTTTGTGTTTTTTGAAAAGTAAAAAAAATAAAAAGTGAAATCAAAATATACCCGCATTTGGAATTGGCGTTCAGTTGGCTGAATTGTCACTTGCCCTTTTTAGATCATACTGCTCTGTTGATTGTGTTTATGTGTCATTTATGCCTTTCAAACTTAAATATTTGGTTCTCTATGATGAATAGAAAGTGTTTGTTGTGAATTCTGCGGATTTGTCACCAAATAACATTATCTAGCCAGCTCACCTGAAATTTTGTAGAAACTGTAAATGAGTTTTGATATTTAGTCTTTTGATAGTATTGTAAACAAATGAAGTCATGTTGTAAGTTATTCCGTCAATTTCCAGAATAGTTTCTGAATTTAAAGCTGACATAGAGACACATTATAACACATTATAATAATAATTTATATAGCATATTTATAATTTATTTAATTTCCATCTATTATTGCACATTTAAAAAAACTTAATATTCTAATATTGTTTTTAAAGGGGTCATATGATGCTTTTTTAAAGATCATTATTTTAATATAATCCAATTTAACTGGTAATTTTTAAATTATGAGTTTTTTATTTTATTTATTATTTTAAAAGAGTAAAACATGAATGTAACTACATGATAATATATCTATATTCTCGAAGAACATAGGCTATATTGAAGAGTTCATTTGCAAAAACCGATAACTCATTTTTATTTTATTTTTCAGAAATCACATTTTTTTATTGCGGATTCCAAGTAATATCAATCAAACTGCAGTTGGGTTGTTTTGATTAAGTAATAATAACTTAAACAAATACAGGTAATTTACAAAATTAAAGTTCATTGAACATTGTAACACGCTATTTTGCACGGTTCCCTGAAAACGTTTCAGCTTTTATTTTCCTTTATTATCACACGTTCATCAAGTTTGTCGAAATTATCCATCCTCGATCACTTTTAGTCAGCTTTGACGAAACTCC